TTCTGGTTGTTGCAAAAGCGTGTTTAGCAATGGCTTGAAATTAAAAAAAGGAAAAATTATGGCTACCTACGTATGCTTTCAGAATACTTTCACACAGTCATCTCGCTATATTGTTATTGAGTTCAATTACATTAATCCGACATTTAAGACACTTTATTTGTACAGTTGACTAAGGTAACCGACTTTAAATTTATTAATAACTAGGGCAACGCTTTCTCTAATCTGATATTTTACTTCTTAACATCGCTGTTCAGAGGCCAATTGTTTTCGTGATAACAGTTTGAAAGTATGCAAATTATATTGTAATTTTCTCGCTTCCTTTGTCAAGAAGGAGATAAGTGGACGACAGATAACGGTCAGGCTACAGGTCGGACTGATCATCGATAGAGTATTTTCTCACCAAACAGCGCCTTTATCTCAAGTCGAGCAATTCAGTAAAAGAATTTAGATTGCTATCACAATTTCTCACAGCAGGGGTTGCAACCTGCGGTCCATGTGCCACGTGTGTCCCTCGCAACCCTTTCATTTGTACGTCATGATTTGGCAGTTAGGAAATGGGAGAGATGCTGACATTAAGGAAATTGTCCACGACATTGTTATTCCATTTTGGAGCCCTGGACTAAGATGTTAATAGCCAACGTGGGCCGTCGAAATAAAAAGTTTTCCTACCCTTGGCTGCAACGGCAGATCTGTTAGTTTTATCTTATCGTCCTACAGCTGGATGGCATCCTCATCTGTCTCAATTGCATGCTTGTAGAATCAGTAATTACAATTTGTGGGCCTCGCCCTACACATCCAAATGCCAGTTGCTGCATATTGCCTTCCTTTACATGAAGACCCTCAGATCTGCGATATCACGGACGAAATAATTTAGTTTCCTGTTCTGTTTGAAAGGACAGCGGATATTTTGCTCGCTATCAGCGCCAGATCTGATAACTGCAGAGAATTCGGCGTCACGAAACTGCACGCTTCAAGGCCAAGGAAATACTTCACTCCCCCATCTCCATTCCTTTACCTCGCGGCCGTAAGTCACTATTTGCTACGCTGCAAGTTATGAGCTAGCATCGCTCGTCAGGGCTCCGCTCTTCGCGTTGCAAGATTTCGGTGTTACCTTGAAAGATTTGTTTAACTTGTTTGCCCTTTCGTAAATTTCCTTAAAGCTCCAACAGATTGTTATAATTTACGCATTATAATCTTCCAGCAAGAGCCACGGTGGTCTAGCGGTTAGAACGCTGGCCTTGTAATCCTGGGGTCTCGGGTTCGATTCCCGGCGGTGCCCGAATTTATAACTTGTGTTGGGCAAGGCCGTGGTCTAGCCAACACAGAGGTTTCCTCCGTGGCATCCCAACAATTACCCCATTCACACACAGAAGAAGGCAATGCCAAAGCCCCAGGGTCGATAGTGTTTGATGAATGTGGTTCTAGGTATTGCAGTAAAAGACTGAAAACGCCTGGGCAGCGAAAGCAGGTGCCAAGTTATAAAAGACACGTCATTATCCTAGCAGATGGTGCGTGTGTACAAATTAACAATGCATATTTGTAATCAGGAGAATTATTATGACTGTCTCTATCTTATTCCTGGTATATTCGATGATACTGTCAGTCCTTCAGAACAGATAGCGTCTATCATCGGTCGTAAATGAGCTGCATTGTCAGCCTTAACTCAGAATATTGGAATTTTTTCGAAACGTCCGCTGCTTCCGTTAAATGCTGATGTCAGATCAAGAGGAGGGCCGCACTTTAGATTAAAGACTTATAAATTGAGCGACAATTATAATATGTTATAAAAAATGCCAATGGTTTTTTCCGTAACGAGGGCTTGGAGCTTTACCCCTGCTCCTGTCGTGTGTATTCGCTGTGGCGCTGGGTTAACATGTTTGAACAATACACGTTTTGCCTTTGCTAGCTTTGAAGTATCCTGACCGTGTCCATGCCCGATTCGTTTTATCAGCTGTTTCTCGATTAGAATCTTTGGCTTGTGCAAGAATTTTCGCTTTATTTTGCGTAGTATTTGTGTTAATTGTTTCATGAAATTGACTTCAAGCCGTCGCACTCTAACCTATGACGTCGGACAGATTGCACCAAAAAAAACATGACTTCTGCATTTTCAGCAAGTGATGCGATTTCGTGTTCATGTTGTAGTGCACGGAGCCGTTCTTCCTGCATCCCCCGCCCACCCAGCACCAGCAACCGGACGGTTTGTACGTCAACCCGGCGCACGGCTCCACCAGCGACCCCTTCTACTTGCACAACCCGCGCGACGTCGTCTACAACCGCGTGAAAGACCTGTTTGAGTCACCAAACGGGTCCCAACCTCCGGCCCCCACGCTCTCCGGACTCAAAGGTAAGAACATCGCGGAGAAGACGCGTTCTCCAGAAGACAGAGAAATCGAAAATTACAAGTTTATAATTAAAGTAGTTTGATCACATGTTCTTCCTCAGAAACAGGGATTTGAGGGTTTGGCGGCTGTGAGTCCAAAGATGACTGTCTTCTGGGTTGTAGCGCCGTGCAGTCTGGTAGAAGTTTACCGACGTTTCGGAGATCCTTTCCGCCTCCATCATCAGGGCGATCATCACCCTGATAATGGAGGCAGCAACGACCACACGCCGCTGCAACCCAGAAGACATCCATCATCAAAAAGAAATCTGCGAGACTTTTAACAGCGTCTGAAGAATCCGACCTGAGAAGAGAATAGTGTCTGGTGATGAGACATAGATGACCCAGTACGGCCCAGAAAGGAAATGCCGAAGTGTCCGGTGGACGTTTTCAGGATATCCTCGGCTGGGAAATGCGTGAATTTTAAAACTAATGCCAAAATCACGATTTCTGGTCAGCAAACAAACAATAGTTGTTTTCGTACTATATCGGTTTTTCGTATTCTCGAAATCAGAAATCCCGTCGAAAGAGTGCAATTTTGAATCACTGAACAATGTGACCTCAGTATCGACAGAATTTCAGGAGCTGATTTGCAGCAATGTTTGCGGGCGGCCTGTAGAGGGACTGAAATGCACGTTTAAGTCAAAAGGAAAGTGTCTTGAAGCTGTCCACACTCACCACGGGTAAATGCTGATGTGTAAAAGTTCATTTCAGAATCAGGTTATTTGTTAGACCTCGTTTATCGAATGCTGTTGAGTGGTATGAAATTTTTAAACATTATTAACCTTTTGAAGCTCTCTACATTATTTTTCTTAAGACTTCAGTCCGTACCGCAAAGAAAACACGATGTTTCGTTATTATAAAATTATCTTGTCAATGATTCTCAAGGAAATAATCCCTTTTTGCTGTGAGAATCATGCGAAATCCACAATAAATGAACCGTTGATTGTTAAAGCAGGTGGTGTATATAGTTACCACTCGGCATGAAAGTATTAATTACACTGATCTTTAATCACAGAAAATGGGTGGCATCCAATTTCATGAAGTTCAAATTAATTTTTGTCTAGTACTCATTCGAAAATTATTTGTCGTGGGACCCGGGGGGGGGGGTCCAGGAATACCCGCAGATGGTACCGTGGCCGTGAAAGACTTCCGTCACCCTGGGGCTAGTGTGACGACAGATATCAGATATCATTGGGTTATCAGTTGATAAGCTTTCGTGAATCTTCACAATCTTAGTCTGCGTTCTGCAGCGGAGCGCGTGTGACTGCAATGTGGAACATCTGTTGCGGGCGACGGACACTGCAGGAGGATAAAGGTAGCCACTGTGTTTTCTTTGCTGTCAGTCAGCTTCCGTCCGAAATAATTTTAATATCACGATTCCAACCCCTGAGGAATCTCTCGTCGCCAAAAGCTCCTGTTATTGTGTGTTCAATGCAAGGCATATGATTTATAATAGCAATTGAAACACTGGACTCGAATCCACAGTTACGAGCGTTAAAAATATTAGTGTTTCACTCTCCGTACTCTGTAATTTGAACGTTTTCATGTGTCTCAACACAGACTGGGTCCAAAGTTCAGAATTTGTGTGTGGTCATCGCGAATTCCATCACTGACGCAACGGAAACCAGCTGTTAAGGTACATAACCTCAACCTGCTTTTCTGGAAACTTATCTAAATCCTGATATCCCGCGAGTAGGTTTTTTTATTCCCCGTGCATACTACATGTCCAGCTCACTTTAACGTTAAAGTAACCCCATGAAACAGTTACTTCTTATTTAAAGACCAGAGTAACTTTATCATGGAGCATAGTCTGTCTATTTAGACAATAATTTCAATTACAAACACGAATTTATTTTAAAAAATATGTTTTTAAATTGATTATGATTATTTAAGGGGTTCTGTGTGTGCTGGTCGGTAGATATTTGCAAATTCAGCCCTGAAGATGGAGACACTACGCTTCTCCGAAACGTTGGCAGCCACCGATCAGCTCAGAGGAATATTATTATCAACGCCCCCGCCGTGAAAACATAAAATATCACACGTAAAAAGAAATTATCTTTGCCAGAACTTCATTTTTCCTTCTCAGACATATCAACATTCAGAAAAGTGGCTAATTCTGCTAACACTTTCAAATGGATCAGAAAATCGAGGGTTGAAGTGAAGACTACTCGAAGTTCCCTGACGAACATAAAACTCCGTGCCTTCACCACAACCAAGAGAATACATGTGCTCACGAGCTAGTGATTATGGGCATAATTAAGCAATTCTCCAAAGCACCAACACTCGGCCTAGATGCAGTGTCGTTAAACAACCTACAAAGTGAATAAAGAAAAAAAAATCATTGATATTTTCTTCGTTCGTAAACTTGTCGCCATCAAATATAAAATTTCGAGATTCTCCATAGGGCGTTACTATCATAAAAATGGCGACGAGTTAGAAGTTCAGGAACATTTTTTGGTTTTACGTGAAAATACTATTTTTTTAAAATATCAAATGAATTGAATTGTACTGCAGAAAAAAAAGTGGCATGTTGTTTTGATGGTGATGAAACTTCAGGATAATTAGTTATCAGGAAAGTTCTACCAAAGGCAAAATAATGAACAAATAACGCTGTATCGTCACACTTTTTACGCTTATCAGCAAGATAAGTAGAACGATGCATGACAGAGAGGCGAGTGCAGTATTTATGTACAAATCTTTGTTCCTTACAAAGAACAACAGTTGAGGAAGGGATTTAGTGTGAATTTGTTTCTCCTAACTTATAGGCCTGTGTGAGAGTGAGAGACACACACACACACACACACACACGCGAATTTGATCTACAGGCTACCTAGAACAGGATTGTGAGAGTCCTGTATATAGTCAGTAGTTTTTGTCCTGTGGAGAAACTAGCGGAGCTGGCAGACGGACCTACTCCGTGCACCTGAGGTGGCACGGTCAGCGTATTTCTTTTGTTTGGAGGCAGACGAAACATTACACTATCGCACAAGAGACTCGCTCCCAGCCTTCCCCTTGAAAATTCACTATAAACGGAAAACAGAAAGTCATGCCAACATGACAAATTGCGTAGGTTTCAAAATTCCACGAATCAAATCAGTGGTGCAGGAAGACTGACCTAAAATGACGTTCTATGAACATAAATCGGTTTAACGCATTAGCACATACCTCTGATTGTATGACTGAATTGTTTATGAAAAAATGTTTGTTACAATTACAACTAGACATCCTATGGGAATTCTCCAATGACGATTATCAAAATGTCTATTGGTTTGTCATTTTAGTTCAAGGCCGTGTCTAAGATGAGTCTTCCATTCTTCTCATGAACTGTTATATATATAATTAAGGATCACAGGGTATGTAATTTTATCACGATAACAGCATGCTAAACAAAGAACAGTGTAAAAGCAGCAACTTAATAAAAAGTAAAATAATGAAATAATGAAGTTCAAAATACAGTAACAGCTAACTTCTTCATAATAAAGTTTGAAAGCAGCAAATCGCATTACAAAGAAAAAATGTTCACTGACGAAAGAAATTACTTTGTGCCATTAGGTCTGTGTGCACATTTAACACAAATCTGGTGTGTTGTGTAACCCGAAGTTGGCTGCACTTGTATCCCAAACCACAATCTAAAAAGGACGATAAACATTGATAGAAGCAGTAAGTATTAATTGTGACTTACGTCCTAGGTCTTCACTGGATATCTGTTTCGATAAACATTGGCTGCCATTGTTCATAATCCGTGACTGTAAAATCTGAAGAGAAACACCGCAAAAGATACTTTTGCTCACAGAACTTGAAAACCGCTCGTTTTCAATACGCCATCTTTCACTGGAGTTGAATACCAACTTGACCAACCTAACAGCGCTAAATTTAAAATTATTGTAGGAATAATGTATTTCTCTACAACACAGATGTGTTATTTTAACCAGCTTCGTCAGTTTTATAGTATCCCCTACGAGTGTTCTTGATTTTAGGCGTCCTTCTGTATGATAGCTAATTAAATAATAACTATTTTGATTTTTATGCAGGCAAAGTGGGGCGCATTGTTGTTTCTAATCACCGATGAATTTTCAAATAAGGGATTTCCTGTCGGTTATAATTTGCAATTTTTAAAGACCACGTTTACCAGTTTTGTACAGCTTGAAACAAAAATCTACATTACACTTTCATTTATTCAGTACGAACAAAAATATAGATAAAATAAATTTGGAATTTAATTATTTACTTTCTTCCGTAGAACTGTTAATTTAATTAAATCAAGAAAGTTACGATTAACTAGACACGTAGTTCGAATTGGCCAAGAACGATATGGAAAGTCTATATAAACTTGGTGTGATAGTTTGGGTGTACTATGAGCGAGGAAGGTAGACTCGACATCATCCAGTGAATTCGAAGTTCCTCAATTTCACATCGGCCTCTCCGTGTTGCAGTGAAGGTTGAGCTTCACAGCAGCAGTTCTGGCGCTGGATCCGACGAAAACCTCAGTTCGTCAGACCTCAGCGAACACAGCGCCGACCCCGAAAACGACTATGAAGAGATATACCAATCGCGCGAGGAGAAGACCACGGCAAGCGGAGTACGCAGGCGCAGTAGAGACTCCGGCAGTCACAGCCGGAGCAGCAGTTCCAGCAATATTCACGTTGTTGTAACGGCGCCACCAGCGGCTATGAATGACGCGCCTGCCCAAGAGGAACCCTCTATGACAGCTTCCACAGGTACGAACACGAACTTACTGATGTTGGTCGTATGATATGGGATTTAGGTGTCATCACTACTCGCGCTACCTCTAACGGATCCATTGTCCAGATATACAAGTGAACATGGAGCGGCGGTCTAATGGTCCTGGCAGGGGACACCAAAGGACTCGCAGAAAAATCTGGCCCATTCACTGTCACTTAGTTTATCACGAATCCCACTTGGGCTGGACCGCGGACGCGAACAAGAACCTTCGCGGTTGGAAGCCAGCGACTACCCTCCATTGCTCAAATATGATCCTAGGTTTTTATTACGTCTCATTTCATTCTGGTACGCATATTTTGAACACGTTTTTCACTTTTTATCTTATTTTTTGTAATTGGGGCGCGTCTTACATTCAATGGCGCCTAAGAATCGATGTCTAACAATTATATTGTTTGAGTGAACTGGAAGGAAAATCTTTGTGCCCACGACACCAGTAAACACAAAGAAAGCAGCAAAACGTTTCATGTTTGAACGTTGAACCTGCCACTGGGCTCCCAGCGCCTGGGGCAATGTCCGGAACTGGATCTAAGCCCCTGATTACATAGGTTAATGATACCAATTCGATAAAAGCTCGGCGGTAATATCCACGGACTCCGAGGGCGAGCAAGACGCAGAACCTCCCCCTCGATGTAAGAAGTACTTTTAATATCATGTCTGTATGCCCTCCCATCGGCTTCTAGCCCACGCCATTCTGATGTAACTAATAGCAAAGTACGAGGTGCAGCTGAAATGCACAAAAAAACTGACTGTTGGCTTTCCTGTGCAGATCTCGAACCGATGTTGATGCTTGACAGCATTATCAGGAGTTACGAAGAAGAGCAAGGTACAGTACTCTGTGTGTCCGATTTGTGTTTTCGCTGTGTCCTGTGCGTCCTCTTTGTTTGCTGACAGTCACTGACTTTGTTCGTCCTTTTTGTTTGCTGACAGTCACTGGCTTTGTGCGTCCTCTTTGTTTGCTGACAGTCACTGACTTTGTTCGTCCTTTTTGTTTGCTGACAGTCACTGGCTTTGTGCGTCCTCTTTGTTTGCTGACAGTCACTGACTTTGTTCGTCCTTTTTGTTTGCTGACAGTCACTGGCTTTGTGCGTCCTCTTTGTTTGCTGACAGTCACTGACTTTGTTCGTCCTTTTTGTTTGCTGACAGTCACTGGCTTTGTGCGTCCTCTTTGTTTGCTGACAGTCACTGACTTTGTTCGTCCTTTTTGTTTGCTGACAGTCACTGGCTTTGTGCGTCCTCTTTGTTTGCTGACAGTCACTGACTTTGTTCGTCCTTTTTGTTTGCTGACAGTCACTGGCTTTGTGCGTCCTCTTTGTTTGCTGACAGTCACTGACTTTGTTCGTCCTTTTTGTTTGCTGACAGTCACTGGCTTTGTGCGTCCTCTTTGTTTGCTGACAGTCACTGACTTTGTTCGTCCTTTTTGTTTGCTGACAGTCACTGGCTTTGTGCGTCCTCTTTGTTTGCTGACAGTCACTGACTTTGTTCGTCCTTTTTGTTTGCTGACAGTCACTGGCTTTGTGCGTCCTCTTTGTTTGCTGACAGTCACTGACTTTGTTCGTCCTTTTTGTTTGCTGACAGTCACTGGCTTTGTGCGTCCTCTTTGTTTGCTGACAGTCACTGACTTTGTGCATCCCTTTTGTTTGCTGACAGACACTGCAATCTACCTCCTCTATGTGTGATGGCGTGCTCTCCGTTTTGTTTTGGTAGGCAAGGAAATCCATGTGTTCGGTTTCTTCTACTGTATTTCCGCATTATAACCCGTCGTTTTATGGTCTGGCTTCTCACGGCTGTGAAATGTTCGATTATGGCCTTCTGGGTTTTGACGCCGGTATTCATTGTTTCGGAGGGACGCATTACCTCTGTCCTCGGGAAACATGGAGGTGATGCGTTCCAATGAAACTTTGTTAACCAACAAGCTCTCAACAGTCGCCTTACTATCCAATTTGCACGCTTCTCATAATTGTCAGGCGTAGTCTAATTGAATTGAACAGCCCGTCCACAAAAGTTCGATAGTTATTTACGAACAGTGGACAAACCGGCGAATATTTGAAAAGTAGTGTCTTGTTCCAGAGTCCGGCGTGTCGAGTGGGTCTCCCTCAGACCTCGGCCACTCCGAGGAGGAATGTGAGAAGACCAGAGTGTCTCACCGCCACTCTCTGCCGCACCTACAGCACAGCGCTGGCAGCAACAGGTAAGTGGCGCAGGTTGACTGGAACCGAGTGAGATTTGCACGACAGGACTATGACAGCAGACTAGGTCTATTTCGTCGCGGAACAAGGAAGGACGAGAGGTGGAAAGGAAGTAGTTCTTAGGGACTCAGATTCTGCTCTGATTTCGCCACTTCGACGAAAAATATTCTGTCCCTTTAAGTCATGGTCTTCGTTGCCATGGTAACTGTATATAATTATATTCGCTGCTTCTTATTGTTTTCTGGTTTTGATGGAAACTGGAACGCATATACAAATTTTTGTGGTTTAAAACTTCTCAATATCAAATTTAATTAAAAATTCGTAACTCAAAATAAGTAGCATTATTCTTGTATTAATATCGTTGCAATAGACAAATTTCTTTTACTGTGTAATTAAGTATTGTTTTTCGTAGTTCGATCAAACTAATGTTCCAGCAAATTATGAACAATTTCAGGAATAATTCGAATGTGAATGTAAAACGTTTCGTTTGTCGTCGCTTACTTCTGGAATAGATTTTTCTGAGATATCTTATCGTCATTGTCTGAGCAATGGACGGATCAAATACCTACTGTTGGTCACTGTCACGTCTAATCCTGAGGCGTGGTAGAAGAGGTGTGTTTCACGATGCACAGTAAGACGTCACAATACAGCGAACGATTACAATAAAAGATAAAACCATGGTTACGAAGATATGAATTAGAAACGTTGTTCTTACACACGTGTTTAAAATGTTTTATTTTTCCACAATTAACGGAGATAAAAACGCAGGGATTGTGATGTAGTTCACCACGTCAAACGCCAACTCGGAAGGAGGTGCTGAACATTTACCAGCTCACGCGAGAACTTGAAAGATCATGAGATGATAAAGTTGCGTCATACTGTGATAAATATATATTTGTTTAAATCTTGTCAGTCAAATCACAATAAAATTCCTATTAAATATTAAAATATTACTAAAATTAACATTTAAATATTTAAAAAGTGATGATCTAATGTAAATCGAACATTTCGATAGAGAACATCATTTTAAATATTTAAATGTTAATTTTAGTAATATTTTAATATTTAATAGGAATTTTATTGTGATTTGACTGACAAGATTTAAACAAATAAACAAATATTGAAAGATCATGTTCTATGTCCACTACTGGGCATGCGCAAACACACGGCGAGCGTAAGCCTGAACTAGCTGGCTAACAACGCCAGGCTGGCTGAAGCTAGGTCACGATCGCTTCCGCTGTGTTCCAGTGATCCACAAGGGTGGGGCAGATAACTTTGTTTCTCGTTTTTCAATGTGTTAGCCGGGGTCAAGACGGTTAACATGAATGCATTATTTCGTAGCCTGTTCTGGGTGTTGGGGATGTGAGTGGGGTTCTTGGCGAAATATTTCTCTAGCATATTATTGAACAACGAAGCTCTTATCGTGCCCGCTGTGTGTGTTTGTGGCCGCCATCACTCTGCACGCAACACGTAACAATTCTGTTCACATTGATTTGTGTGCGGGGTGTGAACTAAAGGAGGTTATTCACTTGAATGAATAATTAAATTGAAAATTATTACTTTTTAATTGTTGCTAGTCCAAGCCTTTGCATGAAAGTAGGTATCGTAGGTTCTTTCTTGAATTTCTTATAGTTTATTTAATCTTCGCGAAGGTAAAGGGCGTTGTGTTTTGCAGAGCCCTGAAGCGGGTCGTGTCGGAGCCCGGGCCGATGTGCCCGCCCCCGCCGCCTCCACCACCTCCAGCGGAGGAGGGCCTTTCTTCTCCTTCCAGAAGCCCGAGTCCGCCAGAACCGGAAGTGGTGGAGGAACCGACAGTGAAGCCTTCCGAAGTGGTGCAGCGTGAAGAAACAGGTGTGTGCCATCTACTTTAAAATCATCTTCCCATGTCATTGGCCACCCCTGAAGTAGCGCCTAACAGCAATAAATTCTGTCTACCTGTTTCACCCCGCCGAGATACAGTCATTTCAAAATTTACAGTTGTTTTATAGTCGGCGCAGTGGTTTTTGGCCGGTGGAGAAGCTAGCGGAGCTGGCGGACGGGCCTAGGTTGCACGGTCAGCGTATTTCTTTTGTTTGGAGGCAGACGAAACATTACACTATCGCACAAGAGACTCGCTCCCAGCCTTCCCCTTGAAAATTCCACCGGCCAAAAACTACTGCGCCGACTATAGTTACGTAATTTCCTCCACGTATCTTCGTTGAAGCTTGTAGTGTATTTATTTCATTGTTGGTAGGCGTAATCGATAGCTCGGGATGTTATTCGAGTTTCAGTTTGTCCCACAGAGATACAAGCTGTCGTATACGCCATGTTGATTTCTTCACTTTTGCAAATGAGTGACGGTTGTTTACGGAGCTGCTGGTAATAAATGTTATTCGTGAAAAGCTGTAGTGTTGTTTAAAACATCCACCATTTTATAATTCTACTTTTCAACCTATGAATTTTGAGCCGTGGTAGAGTGTTTTCTGTTCTCGTTTTGTACGATTGGAATTTGTATTGCTACTTTTCGGTCTGTCTTCGTTTCAGTGAATTATATTACCAAATACACGCAATTAATGAACAATGAACAATTAGTAATGAGTACGACCTTGTGTTCGCAATGCTAATCATCGGATTCCGATGAAATTTTTTGGAAGAGATTAAATATTATCAGATGAATCTAATTTTGCATTGTACGTTACATGAAGCTCATGTGGAAGTTTGTATGACGTTTTTTAAAAGAATACTATTTGTTCCAAAAATATTTTTACTTGGTAATCGCCTACATAATTAAAATCTGCGTTTTACTTAAAACATTCACGTATATACTTTACATTTATTAAAAATACGAGACGAATATTTTACATCTGTCTGCAGTATATTTACAACTGATCTATAAACAGACTTTTTGGCGTCACTCGGCGTAGCATCTGTACTGTTGACTTCTTATTTGACGTGTGATGTTGGAGTGATAGGACCAGATGAGAGAGATTGCGGGCGACGCTTAAAATTATTAATCTTCTCGCGGGTCTCGAGACATCTGCCCTGTTTACCCGGTGTCCTACGCGAGCGATTTGCGTGGGTGAAGCGGAAATATCAAACTGGCTGTTTGTGTGGCGCTGTCCTAGGTTACAGCGAATCAGTCAAGAGAGTAAAGCGGCCGGATTCCGAGATCAAATATTTTGATATTTTCGCGCGAATCGCAGCGCTGGCCGGGAAGGCGCATGCGCAGATAAGCTCTGACTGTGCAGTACAGGGAAGGTGCATGCGCAGGAAGGCCGTGTGTTTCTCTCACCTAGGACACAACAAGCGATTCCCTCATGTCATATGACACCCCATTCTGCTTATGCAGCTCGCACAGCTCGCTTCTTATCGCTCACGTAGGACATTGCCTTAGACTATTGCAGCACGTACGTAGCGAGTCCTCGGTCGCCATTATTTCTCCCACTGTGTCCACTACTCATCTTCAAACAGTCTCATTGCATTCGCGATGTCTTGATGAAAGACAAAAATCTTATTTGTATTTATATATCTTCTCTTAAAAGTACGTTGTTGTAGTTTTTTGTTCCAAACGTGTGCATTGATGTTGCTATTATTCTGAGAAATGTATTTTCTGATTCTACTTTTCTAAAATTTCGAAGTAATTCTGTTATATTGTGAATACACTTCTTTGTTCTAGATTTTCGGTTACAGTCTAGTAATTATTTACCTTTCATTGCCTTTCGCTCTGTTCTTAAAGATGTCGTGTAAGATTTTTAAACGATTACGTCACAGTAATTTAGCCCCTGTTTACAGGAGAGTTGAAATTATACTTTACCTATTTATTCAATTACTTTGTTGGTGTATTGGCGACAGCAGTTCTTGCCCTTGTTGGAGTCCCTAAATTTTCGACAAAGGACGATTTGATTTTGTTTTTTAACAACAGAAATTTCGAAGGACGTGTCCGATATTTCTTTAATTAGTTTTTGAGTTCTGTCTGTCAGCCTCTTGCATTGTTCTATCAGACCAATCATAATTACCAGGTCGTTTCGTAATCTTATTCATTCGACTGATGTTTAGAACTTTCTGAGAAACGCGATATCTTATCACGTAATGCGAATTAAAAATTCCGTCACATTAATACAATTTAATGAAAATGTTAATATGTGGTAATGGTTATCCATGCACTCAGCCAGTAAACTGCTGGATGCGTGGAATCGTCTTTTACATTAAATTAGCAGCTAAAGCGGTTGATTAAACGTCGTGTAATAAAGCTGCTACGAAATATTTCCGTTGGTAGAATTGTGCAGTTTATTTGAGGTCGGATCACTTCAATGTGATCTACGTATCAGCTTTCGAGAGACGCATTCCATTGTTGTGTATACTCGAGGATTGCGAAGAACACGCGTATTGGCGAGACATCTTCTGGCTTCATCTATAACTACAAATCTCAAATAATCCTAAGCGCCCCGCGTGTTTACAGTAATAATGAATTGAGAATCTAGAACGGCTTTGTGAGAAACGAATGGCGATTACAGAACGAGGCGTTGCTGCGTGAATCGAATGTCAAAACAAAACATTATATAAACGCTGTGAGATAATATTCTCGATTTCCTTCACACAGCAAGTAGCCCGACTTTCCTCCTGCTAATTGATTGCTCATCAGGCACACGGTACAGGTGGAAAGCAATTAGTTCTGGTGGCTGGGCATTTAGGAGCTGGCTCGCTCTGTGCGCAAATGGGTGAACTAGATTTCACTTGACAGTGAAGAGGCCCCGACAGAGTGGCGTGTCCGCCACCCCCACCGCTGCCGACAGAGGGCTGCCCCTCGCCCACCGCGGCAAGGAAGGAGCAGCAGCCACTGGGGGCCATCAGCATCCAGGATCTGAACAGCGTCCAGCTCAGGAGAACAGACAAAATGCTGGCCGCCAAGACTTTGTCCGCTCCACCGCGACACTCAGGTGAGAGCGACCGACTGATTCATTGCCTCTGTGTTGTAAGTGTCACGCCCCGCAGAGGTTGGAAATACCACGTCAATACGCCCTGGCCATTTTAACCGCTGTTGGGTGGAAACCACGCCCGATCTGGATATACAGTGCCCTTTAAAGACGCCATTCGCATTGCACTTGCAAATCTTGTAAATATGCAGGCTGACAAATAGTGAAATTTACCTCATCAGCTTTCGAATTCTAATGGAGTCTGTTTTAATGTCAGTTCATTGCTTACGTCCCGACGGTTTTCGGTCAGTACGGAGTTTGTCTACGGACTGGGCGACCGGGGTTCCATCTCCGACAGGGACAAAGGAATTTTCTTCAAGTCTTTGCGCCCAGACCGGCTCTGGAACCCAAACACCTGCTGGTGGTCACTTCACTGCGACTGAAGCACGACCGGGGCGTGACGATGACCACTCAGCACCATCTAGTGCCGAGTTCAAGAACGAATTGGAGCAATACTCCCCAAGCGCCTACATGGCAAAACTATTTGTAATTGTAAATATATTACGTTGTGGTGGGCCTTGTGTTTCAATGACGTAACGTTCGTATTAAGTTTCATGGAAATCGGCCATTTGGTTCAAACGCAGAAAGGAAGCACATTCATGCACCTTTTTTGTTTTGTAGGTTACAAATCTGTCTGTCGTTAAACTAACTGTTCGTGACTTCAGACAACAGAAAAGTTATCGTGCTAACGGAAACGAGTAGTTACAAGCTTAAAGCGTAGACGGTAGTAGGACCGGATTTAATGGGGGAGGGAGGGGAGGCTCCACAAAACGGGCACAACCATAAAATCCATTTTTTACGGCGAAATTCGTCCAGGTAATCATCGCCGGAAACCGATCACGTAATTCCTATTTGTTGTTTATTTATAATTAATTGCAAATATAATTTAACTGTGTTGTTAATGACTTTGAATACCCCGGAGCCCCCCCACAATTGTAAATTGTGCCCTAGTAGACGAGAACGAAAATCAGAAACTTCTGTACCCAAAATATTGTTTAATTAGTTTAAATCCTGAAAAACGTTTTTAGAGATTAACAATGATACGCGTTTCCTACTTCGGTTTATCTCAGTCTTTAATGGAAACTGTTATAAATTACGTCAGTTCCGTTGTTGGCACGTGCCCTGACAGGATATCCGCTTTGCTTGAGCTGCAAACGGATCGCTCCTTCGTCCGTTAAGTTGTCGCCAGAGCGAGGAAGTTGCGTGTACGATCCGTGTCCACGGTAACAGCATCTCGACAGCTATCAAACGGTTCCCAGGGGTGCCAACACTTCCTGTACTTCATTACAGGGGAAAGTATTTGTCTGCAGTACTCCAGTACAAACAAAATGAATGCTGAATGCGTAAGTCGTGGCTCTCTGTCCGTCCGCGTGTTTTATCTCTGAAAATGCTCGACGGATTTCGATTCGGTTTTGTAATGGTAAGTCCAAAATAGTTGGTTGAGTTTAATTTTGGTCCAAGATTAGAAGTTGTCATTAAAATAATTTTGGTGTGGCACACGGTCTATAAAGACAACTCTAAGTTAGAAACATTTAATATTCCGAATTGAGATTCTGGTGAGCTTCTTTCCGGAAGTCACGAAATATTAATACAAGGAACATGAAACTGATACAGTTGGTTGGTCACAGTTGGCTGCATCAGGCACAAAACGTCCATTTGCATTGCCCCCCCCCCAGAAAGCAAGCAAGCTAAAACCTGCTACTGTTGGACAGGTTAAACAATATCAAGTGTATAAATTATCTAGTGCAGGTAAAAAGAGGCAGGTCACTGGTGAGTGGATTCAGTTCCTGAAAAAGTTTGCAGAAAATTCACTCAGAGAAGGAAATCCACGTGATTCTTGTCTGCCGTGGTAAAATTTTTGAAAACAATGTACAGGCAAAATAACAGATTTAATAACATTTTTTACTGAAATATTTTACTATTTTACACTATAAATGTTGTCATGTAGACATAAATTTATTCAGTTGGTTGTCTGGAATGAAGGGCATCCATCATAAACATTCCTCAGGTCAGATGTCATATGCCTTTTTTGTTTGAACAAAGTATGTAATTTGTTTTAAGTAGCTATCCTGTGAAACTACAGGTAGCCCTCGATTTGCGCCGATTCAGGATAACGCCGATTTTGAAACCAGAAAGTCAAAAAGTGAATAAAATATATTTTACTATTATTTATAACGTTTTACAATGTTTCTCGTACTGATTCTTATACTAAATCGAAATTCTTACATCGCCGATTTTGAATAAAAATTATAAACACAGTCATCTCTGCAATTACGTATGTTTCGTCAACGCGAATTTGCTCCAATGAGATCGATGAATCGGTAAAAGCTGTTTATGAAATGCAAACTTTTGCATATGCGAATTTGCTCTTGTGCAATTTCATTCCTGGGGCTTTAAACTTTCAAAGGACTGATTTAATCTCTGCGGAGGTACCGGGGTTATTTATAGGTCGGCGTCGTACATGAATGCAACTATCGCATAACAGCAGAGATCGCTGTCACTCGCAGGGACCAACGAATTGCCGATTGCAAGTGTATAAAATATATTTTTTAAGTTCCCTTTATTTTTTTACGTTATTTCAGAGCTTTAAATGTAATGCCATTACATTATTCGTCAATGTTTGGGCGCTGGGAACGCATGTCATTGACTTCCCATTGATTTACATGATAAAAGAGTTTCAATTTACGCCGGTTCGTCCAGGAACGGCGTAAATCGAGGGATACCTGTATTTATGATTTTCTTTAGTCTCTCTAGGTTCATGGGGAAACATTGCCATAAAATAAACACCCATCCTTTGTATTCAGTACCTCGTTTACAACTGTCCTCCTATTTGACACTGTATAAAGCAAAAGAGGCTTTCATTTTTGTTAAATGAACGAGGAAACAATAACAAGGAGAATGGTAAAGATAATTATCATCTCGGATGTTGCAGTCTGGTAGAACTTTACTAATACATGAGAGGTGCTTGCTGCCTTCGTCATCAGGGCGATGACACTTACAGAGAAATAAATAAAATTTTGGTGAAATGAATTTATCTACCACAGGACAAACAGTGATTTCAACATAACTGTCTTTAAGTAAGCTTACTGTTGTGTATGATGACAGATTATCGTTGCCCTGACGATGAAGGCAGCAAGCATCTCTGAAATATTAAACTTGTACCGGACTACTCTATCACATTCCAGAAGTAATTCGTGACAACCTGGAATCTTACCGAGAGAATCGTGATCATAATCTTTACCAAATTTGGAGTTGAGAGTTTCATTAAAATATTATAACCTGTACTTTGTTGTAGTGGCGGACCAGCCGTTCCTGTTGCAGAAGGAGGACCTGATTGCAGAACTAAAGATGTCGAAGGACATCACAGGCATCAAGAAGCTGAAGGTGGAGCGCGCCAAAGTGGAGGAGCAGCAGGAGAAAGAGTTGTTCAGTGAAATCACTAGGCAGCTCACAGCCAACAGCTTCGTTGAGAAGGTGCGACTGGCTCCATCTTCAACTTAACATTTCTAACTTTATCTTTGCGGTGATGATGGGGGTGTTATTTCGTGAGATTTCAGGTTCTCACAGTAGTGAGTATGAAGGCGGCAGTGTTTTGGGTTGTTGCTCCATGTAGTGTGTTAGAAATTTTCTGATGTCTCAGTGCCTTGATTTCATCTCAGTGCAAGGGTCACTTTCAAAGCATTTACACTGGTTTGTTCTGAGAGTGCACAGGGAAGATACGCAAGTCATAAAGTAGAGTCACTGAGGCACTCGGTCAAGGTATTTTCTGCTTTTTGTGAAACCCAAGAGTTCATTTCCATACTTACAAGAGCCGGTGTCATATCCTTGTTTTCAGGCAGACAGTTCCAGTCCATATGATCCCACCCTGTTTCTGTAAGATCCGTTTTCATGTTATTGTCACATCTGTGCCTAGGATTCTAAAGTAATCTCTTCTCTTCATGTAACTAACTAACTAACTAGATGGCTTACCGAACCCGAAGGTTCATCACCGAATTAATCAAAGCCCTCCACCGGACCCTGCCCTGGGCCAACAAAATCCAGTCTCCTTCAACTCCTGTCTCTCATAGATCCCACCTGACATTATCATCCCATCTAC